GTTTTACGCTTTACTTTATTTGGTCTATTAATCGTAAATACACATCACATCACTGGAAAATTATTTAGGAGAGAATGTTAATTGTATGATTTTTTTAATATGCATTGTTAAAAAAAATGAAATATTGCATTTCGTGGATGGTTTTAAATATGAGGTTTATAGTAAAAATTTGTGTATATATATATATATATATATATATATATATATATATATATATATATATATATATATATATATATAGTAATCCCTGACAATGGAGGTTCGAACCATTGTCGGGTCTTAGAGTTTTTATGTAATTTACATCACTATAACTCTATAACCCTTCACAAGACACAAACCTAGTCCGCCTGGGGTCTGCCCACCAACATGGAATGTGTTGGTACAGATTTGGGTTTTACAATTGCATTCATTCAAATTCAAATTGAATTCATTTTGAATTCAAAATGAACTCAACTGTATACATCCACTTCAGAGTGACCATTAGCTTGGCTGACAAAGTATGCAAAGCTTGTGTCTTGGTCAACAAACAAGCTCATGACATGTATAGCACCTGTTTATAGAGTAACCAATCATTTTGTTAATTTTGACTAAGACAAAAAAAAAATCCGGCTTGTAAAATTTTCTTAGTGAAATGCCTCATTGAAAGGTGCTGATGTTAATGTATCGCACATAAGGAGATTACAGCGTAGCTAGAAGACGCCAAATGATAATTAACAGCAATTGTTGATTATTAACCTAGTCAACGACAATTAACCTAATCACCAAAGAAAAAAGGTGTTTGGATGGGTATAAATAGGAGCTTGCAACTAATTTATCAATGGACCTTCTGCAGTGTCCTTTAATACAGACAGCTAGTCACAATCACTTGGCTGAACATTATAGAAGAAACGCAACCCACTCCATATATCTCCAGACATGTTTCTTAGAGGTCAAGTTTCCTTTAATCATATGTTCATATTGTCTTAGCTTTCCAGGAGAGATTATAGGTTACAATGTAAAAAAAACCCAAAGACTTTCATTGTTTACACTTGCTTTATTGTTCCTCCAGGTGATGGACAGAAAAGCTTTCTCTTCTACACACAGGGACACACACAGGGACAGTCAGGGACATAAGGACACTCAGGAACACTCAGGGAATAGAGTGACTGCACTGACACTCACAGTCAAGGCTGGCAACAAATACCTCTGCAGAGACTCCAGTCAGAAACACCAGTCAGGAACACCAGTCAGGGACGCCAGTCAGAGAGAGACACCAGTCAGAGACGAGCGGAGGTGAAGGAGAGCTCAAACGTCTCTTTCCAGCGGACGTACAACGTAACTACCTTTTTCCAACTTCGTTGAGACGTCATAACAACGTTAAAAAACTGCGGTGACGTTGTGCGTTTTCTGGTTTCTCTATAGCAGCCACGCTCAAGGATATTTTGTAATAACAGATAACTGTACACGCTGCATGCGGGAGTCCGGAGAAGACATAGGTGATGGAAACAGAGAGATAAAAAAACGATAAGGAAGAGGTGAAGAACATTAGAAGAAAAGAGATGAAACAGAGCGCCAGCATGAGGGTGAACCGAACACCATACCTTCCTCGCCACAGTATCCAAACAATGTATACAATATTAGGGCCTCATACTTAATTTATATAAAATAAAAACAATAAAAATGTGTGCTAATAACATACTAAAAAAGATTTACTATGAGGGTGTGTGAGGGAGGGCAACCTGCCTGTCATGGCGTTACAAGAAGCATCGACTTGACGAAGACCTCATGTAGGCTGTGAGGGCTTTAGGGATGAGATGGGTGAGAGTGAGGGAGCAGCTGTGCCTATAGAGGTCTTCCTCAGTCTGATTAGCACGAGAGGACCCGTGAGCTGTACAACACGTTCACCAGAGGCTGACACACACGAGGAAGCTCTACAGTAAGACATGAGAGAGAGAGAGAGAGAGAGAGAGAGAGAGAGAGAGAGAGAGAGAGAGAGAGAGAGAGAGAGAGAGAGAGAGGCGAAATTAGTACAGAAACTAACACTTTGTGAGCGGCGTAAATATGCTTAAAAAAAAGAAATAAATATTGAGTACTAATATTAGTAACGTTCTAGTACTAGAACTTAGTACTAGAACTAGGTACTTAGAACTTCTCACCGACAACAAGAAAACAAAATAACTTGTGTTTGAAACACGAACACACACACACACACACACACACACACACACACACACACACACACACGCACACACACACACACACACACACACACACACACACACACACGGAATTAAGGAACGGAAGGAGAGTAGGAAAGCATCCAGGGGGAATGACTGCAGAGGCATCTTAATATGTAAGATGACATTTCAGCGCATCACTGAGACCTGAAGTAGTAGTCCTGAAGTGAACCTGAAGCAGGCTTGACGCAGACATGAAGCAAACCTGAAGAAGAAGAATTGACGCAGACCTGAAGCGAACCTGAAGCAAGAAGTTAGCAGCAATAGGTGGATGAGGGGTGGATGGGTGGGTGGGTGGGTGACAGACTATGCTGTCAACATTCACATACTAACATGATGACTCAATAAAAATGAGATCTTTATTAGTGATATGTGTCTTTAATCTGATAAATAAAAGTTTACATGTTTAACTGTAGTCGCAGTCTTAAAGTTTAATCTATGGACAGCAAACTGGTTGACATTAGCACAACACGGCTGAATAAGGAACTTCTGTTAACATTGGTATAATACACGGAACACTTTATCAATAAACACTTGCATATATATATGTACAGACAGCCGCTCATGTGCAAAACAAGAAAAAAAAAATGTACATCCATCAATTGTAATATATATATCTATAATATTTTTATATACAAATTGATATTTCATTTTATGATTACATAACTGTTTAACGTTTTTCAGTTAACATTGACCAACACTGAACACAAACACGACTTGATTCAGCATCAACAAACTCTCAAAAGTGTCTACTCAACATCAATTTTCACAACGCTATCTCGTCTAATGCGTCCTGTCGGCCCTCTGAAGTCACTTCTCCCACGGTAGACACTTCTCCCACGATAGAGACTTCTCCCACGGTAGACACGTCTCCCACGATAGAGACTTCTCCCACGGTAGAGACCTCCCACGGTAGACACTTCTCCCACGGTAGACACTTCTCCCACGGTAGACACTTCTCCCACGGTAGACACTTCTCCCACGATAGACACCTCTCCCACGGTAGGGATGTGTCTTTCAGCACACACTCTAACTTGCCACTATGTCTTCATATATTAAAAAAAGAGCTATAAACAGCTGAGGCTGCTATCTCCATAATTATAGAAAAGTGGCAAGCCTTTTCTCCCCCTTTTGCTGCACTGATGAGTGTCTGCACTCTTGGTGTTGGAGAGTCTCTAGTCCCGCCAATAACGTGGGATTCAACACCCTATCACAAGCTCTGATCCCCCTTAAGGAGGATCCTCCAGTCTTCGGCGGTAATAACAACAGAAATAATCATTCCGCACCACCATCCATTCAACTCTGCCTATCGTTAGCACTCGTTTGAACCGCGTCGTTAGTACATCTTCAAACTACCTTGGTGGGGTTCTTAAGCCCACTCCGCTCTCGTTGCCAGCGGTGTTGCGAGCCCAGTTTTCATCTTATATATTGTGTTTATATATTGTTTTATTTCGTTTTAGTTTCCGTATCATATGTATTATTTTTAAATAATGTTACATTAGTTTCCATTCACAGTTGATAAGGTTCATGTGTTTTGTCTGTGATTTATGATACAGCTAAGAGGAAATTGATGTCTCGTCAATAAACACTTCATCTGACCCTCTAGCTGGTGAACAGGAGCGTCCTCGCTACACCAGAGCGCCTTGTTTACTTTCTTACCTGAAAAAGGTATCTCGCCTCACATATGACTTAATGGTAAGTTCGCCACGAAACGTCAGAGTTAAGGAACACCACCACCCACACACCTGCTTACAGAACATGTTCTCAAAGGTCTTCTTAAATGCGTCAAACGCAACTTGCATGCTACAGATACTATCTAAAATTGGATCTAAATCAAAGTGATTATCATGTAATCGAATAAGGTTGTTTCTGTTAGTTTTAGCGTGAGGGTAGTGAGCTGTGGGAGGGCCAGCAGCTCTGGGAACACGGAAGGAGCGCACACCTCACACCACACCGCGAGCTCTGGGAGGGCCAGCAGCTCTGGGAACACGGAAGGAGCGCACACCTCACACCACACCGCGAGCTCTGGGAGGGCCAGCAGCTCTGGGAACACGGAAGGAGCGCACACCTCACACCACACCGCGAGCTCTGGGAGGGCCAGCAGCTCTGGGAACACGGAAGGAGCGCACACCTCACACCACACCGCGAGCTCTGGGAGGGCCAGCAGCTCTGGGAACACGGAAGGAGCGCACACCTCACACCACACCGCGAGCTCTGGGAGGGCCAGCAGCTCTGGGAACACGGAAGGAGCGCACACCTCACACCACACCGCGAGCTCTGGGAGGGCCAGCAGCTCTGGGAACACGGAAGGAGCGCACACCTCACACCACACCGCGAGCTCTGGGAGGGCCAGCAGCTCTGGGAACACGGAAGGAGCGCACACCTCACACCACACCGCGAGCTCTGGGAGGGCCAGCAGCTCTGGGAACACGGAAGGAGCGCACACCTCACACCACACCGCGAGCTCTGGGAGGGCCAGCAGCTCTGGGAACACGGAAGGAGCGCACACCTCACACCACACCGCGAGCTCTGGGAGGGCCAGCAGCTCTGGGAACACGGAAGGAGCGCACACCTCACACCACACCGCACTCAGAAATGACTTAAAGCTTTTCTTGATATGGTTAATTCCTTTCGTAATGACAGTGTCCTTATTTGTTGTCATTAAGATAATGTTTATTGCCTGTTCAGACGAGATTTTAACTGTACAGCCCTTGGCATCATCCGTCTTGCGAGAGAACGATATGACGAATCAGTGACCCGACCGATTATGGTTGTCAGCGACGATTAGAGGTCGTCGCCGTTGGACCCCGACCGATGAAAGGTCGTCGCAGTAGGACAGGATAACGTCTTGTCTGAAGAGTCATTATCAGTCCCAGGCGTGACATGGGCGACAACACTAATGACCTCGTCGAGAGAGTCGTTGTCATCAGCTGGGCTAATGACTGGTTAGAGCAGTATTATGTCAGCCCAGGTCATTGGGCAACACAGGAACCGGACCTCTCCTGCCCCCCCTCCCCCTCTCACCATAAACACAACCAAACGGAAAGCCACTTAACCAGATCGTATATTTTCCACGCTGAGGTACGACCTTCACGGACTGATCGCGTGTATTCCGATAATAATCACACGTGCAGCTATCTAGCGTACGTGCCAGCTTTCCAAGTGTCATTAAACGTACATCAGGAAACCACAACGCACCAGGAGACTATTCAGCGCACATGGGAGCAGCTGCTCAGGGGCTCAGCAGACTGTGCATGTGCATCAGAAGTTACAAGGTTATGGGCACAAGACCTGGTACAGGCCTTGCTATCCGGGGGCAGGGAAGGTAGGTGAAGGGGGGGTCGAAGTCAAGGCTTCTACGGCGTCGACGTGACAGAAGAAGACGTATCTAGCCAGTCTGCAAATAAAGAAGTCAAAGGATTAATTGTGTGTGTGTGTCGACCTCCCCACGATCTCTCCATCACTGTCAAAATCGTTATCGTGGACAACTTACGTAAATATGTAAACTAATATAATTTACCGCAATTACTGTAAACGTCCCGATCACAGCCAGCCGAGAGGGAGATACCGCAGATTACTGATGTAAATTTATCACTAAATTATTCAAGCAAATTCTTCTTCCCTCCCCCAGGGACTCGCTTATCAATATTGATTAGACACCCTGTGATTGGTAAAACAAATGGCGGTAGAGCGATAATGGTCAGTAAATTTTGGTCCTGTAGTTTATGCAACAGAGGAAATGGAAATACACACACACACACACACACACACACACACACACACACACACACACACACACACACACACACACACACACACACACACACACACACACTGTTGATATTCGATATCAACAGTAATTCGGGGGTTGATATCACACCGATATCAACAGTGATTCGGGGCTGACATCACACCGAACCTGTTCCTGATATCCCATCAAAAGGGGGGGGGTATCATTTTCGGTATATGTTAGACTGGCCAGCATAAGAACTGCCTTTAGAAACTTGGGTTAGGAATCGTTCAGGACCTTGTATACCACTTATGTCAGACGAGTCCTGGAGTATGCAGCTCCAGCCTGGAGTTCATACCTAGTTAAATACAGGACAAAGAGAAGATTCAGAGGTATGCCTCCAGACTAGTCCCAGAACTGAGAGGTACGAGCTACTAGAAAAGCTACGGGAGCTGAACCTCACGTCCCTGGAAGACAGAAGAGTAAGGGGAGACATAATCACCACCTACAAAATTCTCAGGGGAATTGACAGGGTGGACAAAGACAAACTATTTAGCATGGGTGGAATACGAACAAAGGGACACAGGTGGAAACTTAGTACCAAAATGAGTTACAGTGACTTTAGAAATATTTTTTCAGTGTCAGAGTAGTTAATAGATGGAATGCATTAGGCAGTGATGTGGTGGAGGAAGACTCCATACACAGTTTCAAATGTAGATTTGACAGAGCCCAATAGGCTCCCAAATCTGCACACCAGTTTAGTGACAGTTGACACCAAAGGGCCAAACCTCAACCCCCTTTGAGGTTGAGGCAAGCACAACTAGGTGAGTACGACTAGATTAGTGCAACTAGGTGAGAACATACACACACACACACACACACACATGGGTGTGTGTGGGGCCAATAGGGGCCTCGTAGCCTGGTGGATAGCGCGCAGGACTCGTAATTCTGTGGCGCGGGTTCGATTCCCGCACGAGGCAGAAACAAATGGGCAAAGTTTCTTTCACCCTGAATGCCCCTGTTACCTAGCAGTAAATAGGTACCTGGGAGTTAGTCGCTGTCACGGGCTGCTTCCTGGGGTGTGTGTGTGTGTGTGGTGTGAAAAAAAAAAAAGTAGTTAGTAAACAGTTGAGAGGCGGGCCAAAAGAGCAAAGCTCAACCCCCGTAAAAACACAACTAGTAAACACAACTAGTAAACACACACACACACACACACACACACACACACACACACACACACACACACACACACACACACACACACTGCCTGTAGAAATAGATCCCACCTGCTCATCATGGGCGACTTCAATCACGGAAAGATTGACTGGGAGAACAAGGAACCGCATGGAGGCGAGGATACGTGGAGAGCCAAACTATTGGAGGTGGTGACAAGCAACTTTTTAACGCAGCATGTCGGAGAACCCACAAGGATGAGAGGCAATGACGAACCAGCGAGACTCGACCTAGTCTTCACTCTGAACGACTCCGACATAAGAGAAATCGGTTTTGAGGACCCAGTAGGAATGAGCGACCACAGTGTACTGGTGTTTGAGTACTTGATTGAAGAAGGGTTATTGAACTCGAGGAGGGATACCGAAACCAAAAGGTTAGCATACCGAAAGGGAAACTATGAGGGGATAAGAAAATTCCTAACAGATATAGCATGGGAAACAGAGCTCAGGGGAAAGACGGCCCAAGATATGATGGATTACATCACGCAGAAGTGCAAGGACGCAGCAAACAAGTTTGTCCCAGTCCAAAAGGAAAACAGAGAAATGAAGATGAGAAACCCATGGTTTAATCAAAGATGTAGGCTAGCTAAGCAGCAAAGTAAAAGGGCATGGAGAAACTATAGGAATAACAGGACACTGGAGAGCAGAGAAAGATACCAGAATGCCAGGAATGAATATGTCAGGATGAGAAGAGAGGCAGAAAGACAATACGAAAATGACATCGCAAGCAAGGCAAAGACTCAGCCTAAATTGTTGCATAGCCACATTAGGAGAAAAACAACAGTAAAGGAACAGGTTATGAGATTAAGGATAGGGGCGGAAGGATTCACTACAAATGACAAGGAAGTGTGTGAGGAATTGAATAAGAAATTCCAGGAGGTCTTCACCTTAGAACAAGGAGAAATTCCAGAGGTAAGTGAGGGAATAGCTAACCAGGAACCACTGGAAGAGTTTGAGATTACCAGTGGGGAAGTAAGGAAGTGTTCACTAGAGTTGGACGTGACGAAGGCTATAGGCCCAGATGGAATCTCCCCTTGGGTTCTAAAGGAAGGAGCAAGAGAACTGAGCCTACCACTCTCCATAGTGTATAACAAATCACTGGCAACAGGGGAACTGCCAGATACTTGGAAAGCAGCTAACGTAGTCCCGATATACAAGAAAGGGGATAGACAGGAGGCACTGAACTACAGGCCAGTGTCCCTAACCTGCATACCATGCAAGCTGATGGAGAAGATTGTGCGAAAAAAACTAGTGGAGCATCTGGAGCGAAGGAACTTTGTAACACAGCATCAACATGGGTTCAGGGATGGCAGGTCCTGCCTCACAGGGTTACTTGAATTCTACGACCAGGCAACAAAAATAAGGCAAGAAAGAGAAGGGTGGGCAGACTGCATATTTTTGGATTGTCAGAAAGCCTTTGATACAGTGCCACACAAGAGGCTAGTGCGAAAGTTGGAGATGCAGGCTGGAGTGAGAGGGAAGGTACTCCGGTGGATAGAGGAATACCTAAGCAACAGGAGACAACGAGTCTGTGTGAGGGGTGAAGTCTCAGATTGGCGAGACGTCACAAGTGGAGTCCCGCAGGGGTCAGTCCTCGGACCTATACTGTTTCTGGTATATGTAAATGATCTTCCAGAGGGTATAGATTCGTTCCTCTCAATGTTTGCCGACGATGCAAAAATTATGAGGAGGATTGAAACAGAGGATGATAGTAGGAGGCTACAAGATGACCTGGATAGACTGAGTGAATGGTCCAACAAATGGCTGTTGAAGTTCAACCCGAGTAAATGCAAAGTAATGAAACTAGGCAGTGGAAACAGGAGGCCAGGCACAGGATACAGAATAGGAGATGAAGTACTTAATGAAACAGACAGAGAGAAAGATCTAGGAGTTGATATCACACCAAACCTGTCTCCTGAAGCCCACATAAAGAGAATAACGTCTGCGGCATATGCGAGGCTGGCTAACATCAGAACGGCGTTCAGGAACCTGTGTAAGGAATCATTCAGAATCTTGTACACCACATATGTAAGACCAATCCTGGAGTATGCGGCCCCAGCATGGAGCCCGTACCTTGTCAAGCACAAGACGAAGCTGGAAAAAGTCCAAAGGTATGCTACTAGACTAGTCCCAGAACTAAGAGGCATGAGTTATGAGGAAAGGCTGCGGGAAATGCACCTCACGACACTGGAAGACAGAAGAGTAAGGGGGGACATGATCACAACCTACAAAATCCTCAGGGGAATCGACCGGGTAAACAAGGACGAACTTTTCAACACTGGTGGGACGCGAACAAGGGGACACAGGTGGAAGCTGAGTACCCAAATGAGCCACAGAGACGTTAGAAAGAACTTTTTCAGTGTCAGAGTAGTTAGCAAATGGAATGCATTAGGAAGTGATGTGGTGGAGGCTGACTCCATTCACAGTTTCAAATGTAGATATGATAGAGCCCAATAGGCTCAGGAATCTGTACACCAGTTGATTGACGGTTGAGAGGCGGGACCAAAGAGCCAGAGCTCAACCCCCGCAAGCACAATTAGGTGAGCAATTAGGTGAGCACACACACACACACACACACACACACACACACACACACCGTATTCACCGTGCTTCAGGGTTCCTCTGTAATACAATAACACTCCCCACACAACGTATCGCCCACAATACATATTCACAAATTTACCATTGTAAATCATTTATTAATTTTCCAGCACTCGGACGCCCGCACCAGCACATAACAGCCTGTTTATTACTGTAACATAATAGTCATGAACTTGTTTAACCTCTCGCTCATGGCTGTCATCTGTTAATGGCCTGTGTTATGTGAGCTCTTTACTACCACATCGTCTCTTTTTCTGTGTGCCATAGTGCTGTACCCCCGATGGGATTTCTCTCTCTCTCTCTCTCTCTCTCTCTCTCTCTCTCTCTCTCTCTCTCTCTCTCTCTCTCTCTCTCTCATTCCTTCCCCATTTTCCCTACC